GTGTGCTGGGGATGGAGACTACCAATGGCCTCTCTTCCCAACTGGGGATCGGCTTGGAGTGGCTCATCGGTCTTCCTTATCATCAGAGATGACCCGGTCCGCAGGTCCCTGTAACCTCTGCCCATCTGATCGGCACGGAGCAAAGAGACAACTATCTGATCAAGGTCAAGGAATTTCTAGAGGAGGATGGTCGGGGAATCCTGGGCATTTACGGAATGGGTGGTGTCGGGAAGACCACCCTCCTCCAGAGGGGTCAACTCCAACTTACAGGGAGCTCCAGTAGAACACAGGCTGAATACAGCCATTCAAGCGCTGAATACACCGATTCATTGCGTGTTGATGTTGCCTATGGAAGCGAACAAATGAATTCCGTAGAAGAAATTCCACCAGAAACTAGCGAAACATGCAGCACAATAGGCTTCTAAGTGAAAAAGAGATCGCGAAAGTAAGGTTCAGGAGCTTCCCCTGTGGCAGCTACCGTCCCGGGCACAGGTATCTCCTGTCACTACCACTGTGAGCAGCAGCAGAAGTAGGAAGAAGAAGAAATGTTCAGGGGAGACGAGGACGATTGGAAGTAGAAGAAGAAGAGCTATCGAGGTGGCGGTTGAATGATTACTACACCTGAATGATTATCAAAGAAGGAAAGCACTATAAATTAGATTATATATTCTGAAAGTCCAGGTGGGCATTGAGTCTCTCTCTCTCTCTCTCTCTCTCGCTCTTCTCGATCGTATCGCGGAGGTGATTACCGACGAGCTGGGGTAATGGCCGCGGGGAGTGAAAACTAGGTTTGCCTTGGAAACCATGCACTGAAAAAAAACATGGTTCGTCGTGATAAATAGAAATGTTTCCTAAAGGACCGGGTCAACTAAGCATTTCTAGTAATAGATCCATAGAGGGCATCCGTGAAAGAAAAAAATCACATAAATATAGTTTAATAAATACGCCCATGCATCCCGCGTGGTAGCGTAGATGTGGTAACAAAAGTAGGTTCTTGCTGACTATGGGTGAGACTTGTTGTGAAGAAGCTAGTTTGGGCGAAATAATCAGGGGAACCGTTAACTGGCCCCTTGACTTCATTAACGGAGATTTAACGGCGGCGGCGAGACCGGGCCCCATCGCTTTCTCGGCGCCGCCGCTCAGACAGACGGCCGACAAAGTTGGAGAACCTCTCGGAAGCCGCCCTGATGACGACCGCCAACTCATCCTCGTTCCTCCTCTCTCTCTCTCTCTCTCCTTCTTCTCTCTCCTCTTTCTCTCTTCAAACCCTTCGTTTCCACAGGAAGTAAAGGAATAACCCGCCTACATATCGGTCATTGAGGTTTTGATTGGGTTCTTTGGGTGGTGTGGGTAAGCATTCCGCAGAGTGAGTGAGAGAGAGGAAACAGCTTATGAATATACAGAGGGGAAAAACCACTTAGTACAACGCTGTGCGGAGAAAGAGAGAGAGAGAGAGAGATAAAAGGGGGACCCAGAAGGCAATTTATGTAATATAGAGAGAGGGAGGAGAGAGAGAGAGAGAGAGAGAGAGAGAGAGAGAGATTAAATTATTTATGAAATATAGAGAGAAGGAGGCGTGACAGAGACTAGAACGCTGTGTGGAAAGTACCAAGAAAAACTTTTTTTCAAAGAGAGAAAGGAAGAGGGAGGGAGACGGAGAGACGCGGTGGGGAGGAGAGAGAGTAGAGAGGGGCAGTGGGAGAGAGAACGAGAGAAGGAAGGAGAAATAGAATTCGGTCGAAAGGGAGGGACAGAAAAGACCCATCAAATATCGGGTCCAAAGAATCTCCCTTCAAACATTCCGGTATAAGAGAGAGAATAGAGAGAGAGAGAGAGAGAGAGAGAGAGAGAGAGAGAGAGAGAGAGAGAGAGAGAAGAAAAAAGATAACAAATTTTGCCAAGAGAAAGAGAAAAAAAGCAAGGCAGGGAAGGAGGAGGAGCGATAGCAACTGGTAGATAAATGGATGGATAAAGAGACAGAGAGGGGGGTGAGAGAGAAGGATCAGTTCAAAGGTATAGGCAGTGGGTGCATTGGGCCGGGCCTATTTTTCTGTCGCGGCTCAATTATGGGCCGGGAGACAAGGAAAACCGGGGCTGGGCATATTGACATGTAACGGCCCAATATCATGCCCAAGCCATATCCAGTAAAAGGAGTGATCAACTAAAATATCCAAATGGGCCCCACAAAAATAACATCGTAAGAATAGAAGCCATGATTCACTGCCACCTATTCCCTCAATTTTACCCAATATGTCATTACCCACACTCAATCTACCTAGGTAGTGTTCAAATTTATTTGTCTTCTTTTAGACTGCATCCACGTCAATATTGAGAGAGAGGGAGATGGGCATCAATTATTTTAAGATAAATAATTTTAATATGTCATTCACATCAACATTTTGATATTTTTATATTATTTTAAGATAACTAATTTTAAATAATTATGCATGAAATATTTTTTATATGAGTTATAGAATTTTAAAAAAATTATTCAGGATTTTTCGGAAATTTCTGGAATTTCTTATAATTTCTAGGATTTTGTTTCGAGAGTTTTAGGTATTTTTCAGGAATTAATAAAAGCAGAAAATAAAAGAAAATCAGAATGGGCTGAGCTGGGCTGAACCAGGGGGACCAAGCCAAGTGACCAAATGGCTGGAATATTAAGAGTCTGACCATTAAATTGTCAACAGGTTAGCAGCAAAAGTGTAACCAACAGGTCACTAGCAAAAGCAAAACTGACGAATCGGCCTAAGACTTAGGCCAATGTGGGGTACGTGGTGCACATGGATTCAACAACATTTTAATGGACTATCGGTGACTTGGCATGGTCTCTTCTATCCAATCAAAATCAGATGGCGATCCCCCTTTCAAACCCCCCCATGTATGTGTTCTTTTCCCTTTTCTATTTGTTCCATTTCACCATGCACCATTGGAAAGCTCTTGAAGAGATGATTCAATTGGCATCAATTATTTGTGGTTTGGTTATTTATTGAGAGTGCAATCCCAACTTGAATTGAGAGCTCTGCCACCATTGAAATGCTTATAATCTTTTGATTTGGCACACATTGGATTATTTTAGTGATAATCTAGATTAGTGTGAGGCTTGCCTATTGATTACAATGAATTGAGATAGATTTATTTGTATTTTACCTGGTTCAATCATTAGATTTAATGAATTTCAACGTTCACAGTATATTTTCTTGTTTTCCCTTTTTCAGTGATTGATTTTCAATTGATTGTGATTCTTGTTATCTCCCTTGATCCCATTTTCTAATCCTCATACTTTTCTCTTTACTTTGTCCGCCAATTTCATTTCAATCGCACAAATTGCATGCTCCTTCTGGATTGACCCTGAACTTTCTGCCATACTTGATTATTTATAGTTTAATTGCTGAAATTTAGGTTTATAAATGTTTTGATCGACTGCATTTGAGGTATTTCAATGACCCTCAACCATGTCATGTCAATCACTATAGAATCATATTATCTTGATTTATCAAAGATTTATCATTTCATGGATCAAAAAGTTCAAAGCAGCAACTGCAATATGGCACTTTCGCGATGTTAGAGGAACTCATCTTATTCCTATTTTGTCTTTGTCATTTCACCCTTAGCTTCTTGTGTACTTATAAGTTGATTCACTTCATCACACTATAGCTTTTATGAAAGACTTAAATACACTTCTTCATACTAGATGAATTTACTTGAGTGATAAAAATAAATTTGATTATTTTCTTATTGGGTGTGTCCTCTCATTTCCTTAGTCATTGAAGATCCCAATTGTTATAAAATAAATATATCTTGAAATTGTTTATTAAATATTCTTAAAATTATAGAATTATCATGAACATGATTAAGTAGGTACGTTTTAAAAGAATCATTTAATGCATAAAATAAGATATGATTTTAGGCGAACAAGAAAATGTACTCACTATCATGAAAATATTAGAGGATCAATAACTAAAAAATGTAAATCCTGTTTAGTCACCATAGCTTAAAAATGGACAACTCAACCAAACACTTTGCAGATTATAACCACATCATCGAACCTAAGTCAACAATCTAATGAATTAATTAGGAAAGGAGAGAAAGAAGAGGAGTAAACTCCTCAATCTAGTGTCTCATTGTTATCTCAAAGCAAGATCTATGTTGATAGCTTGGATTGAATTCTTTTGAATAGGAAAGGAAAAAAATTAAAAAAATATATATGATTATGATTGTCCAAATTAAACTAAAAATATTGATAGTTACAATCTCAAAAGTGAAAGTATCATAAAGTGAAAGTGTCATAGTTGTTTCCTCCATTATGGATTATTACAATATGAATAAAAAAATAGAGATTTCAAGAATCCGTTCAATAGTATAGATAGGACTAGAAAATGATTTATATAGTTTCACATTCTTTTCTAACATTCTAAGAGTTCAAGCATGATAAATAAATGAATAATATTTTACGCATTTTGAGCTACTTTTTGGGGATCATAAATGAAAGAACATGTACGTAGCATGATCAATTACATTTTATTTCCTACAAAATAAGTTAAACTTACATGAACAGAAGCATTCAATGTGAGATACGATTTACCTTAAGAGTTAAATATATAAATTTAAAATTAAGGTTGAAAAAGTTGTTTAACACTAAATATCGCGTTGTTCAACACAATGTCCCTAAAGGTTTTAAAAAACGTATAAACGTTAAAAAGGTAGTTCTTATATTGACCGCGTTGGAAAGTAAGCATCGCACGACTGAAAGTAAACACGAGGGGTGGGGGGCTACAGAGCGGGCGAGGTATGATGACTCTTTTCCGGCATGCGATTTAAGTTCACCGGAACTGGTACCTTATCAAGCGATGTGACAAAAATAAGAGGAAAAGGGAAAGGGAAAAGAAACCGCTGAAAGGTTATTCCGCGAGGAATGGAGTTGAGGTCACCCGTCAGCCTTGGCGCCGCCGTGGAGTCATTCCTGGTGCGCCCGGCTCTGATCCTGCAACTCTGCATGTTCACGGCTCACATGCGGTGAGCTTCAGAGATATGAATGCATGAAAGCCGGTGGAAACGGGGTATGGCCAGGGCAGGGGTTTCTGGTTACCTCCGAGGACAACGCGGCGGTGCGACGTGGCCGCCGCCTTGGTTCCCAGCGCTTCGCCGGCGGCGCCGCCGAAGAGGAGCTCGGCGTCGTCTGCCCTGGAGGTGAGGGCGTTGAAGAAGGAGAGACCGGTGGGCCACTTGATTTCGGGGTCGTCCATCTGGCAGCCCTCGGAGAAGCCCACGTGGGCGGGGGCGGCGTGGTGGAAGGAGGCGGGGGCGAGGGGGGGCGTGGACCAATTAAAGAGGTGGGAGGGAAAGGAGTGGGACGGGGAGGGTGAGGTGGCGGCACGGGCGGCAGCGGCGGCGGCGGAGGAGGAGGAGGAGGAGGAGGAGAAGATGGTGGAGAAGTAGTAGCTGGACTGGTAACCCAGCGACTCGAAGGTGTGCCTCATCCTCAACACGAAGTGTAGGTCTTCGGGTATCTGCGCATCATTCATTGGAAGCTATTTGTTATCCATTGACGGTACAAATATCAGGACAGCCGCGGAGCAGATACATAAAGAGAGGGAGACAGAGAGAGAGAATGGGGGGAGGAGGGAGAGAGATATGAAGCAAAGATAGTAGAGAGAAAAGGGAGAGGATATAAGACAAAGGGAGTTGTAGAGAGATACCCCAAGATGATGTAGAGAGAGTGGGAGGCGCAGGAAAGAGAGATAGAGGCAGGGAAGACGAAGTGAAGACGATGTATGAGCATGACGGAACTGAAGTAGTTTGCCGCCAAATGAGGCTGGAAACAGATTGATAGAACACGTACATAGATTGAGAGGGAATTAGGGACTGAGAAAGAGAGAAAGAGAGATTGCGTTAACTATTTTAGGCATCAAAGTCACAACCAACACTTATACATGGCTTTAAGCTTCATTTGTAGATTCTCAGTTCATGCATGGTTATGTACCCAAAAATACCTTTACATCGAACTAAACAATGTTGGATAGACCTAATACACCTCTTTGTATTAAACCCTAATTATTTTACAAAAATAGAGTATGAGCATTTTAACAATTGGGTTGTACATTGGACGCATATATTTAATGATGGAATAGCTTTGAGGTATCAAGACATTAATCTACTTATTGGTGACAAGTTTTAAATAAAGCAACAAATTTTGTTTATATGATATCTAGTTTCTTAAGTTCTACTGAAAATAATCTAAGGAACATTTACCATACAATGCTAACATAATCCATCACATCTTTGATTAATTGAAATTTTAAACTATTAAAAATTAAATAAATTTGATCATCCTGATTAAACTTAATTAAAGTAGATAATGAAAATATATTTAAATCGAGAGTTTCATTTTCATAGGATTGTGAGACTATTTAATCTAAGAGAAAAAGAGAAAGTGGAAAGCAAAAGAGTGCACAGGAGGAGAATTTAAGAGTAACAATTCAGGCATCAACATCCAAGCACATTAAAGAGTAAGAGTGGAAAATATTAGTTCCAAGAATATATGTGCTTATTGGTATCAAACCCTAGTTACAATTAATTATGCTTTCAAGTCAAGATAGTGTTAAAGTCTTCATCTGATAATACATGTGGAGAAAAATCACCCAAAACATGGAACTTGGAGCTCATTATGATAAGCTTGGTGGTTATGTAATTTTAAATATTTTTTGATTATTTTATGCATAAAATTAATAATTAAATAAAAAATATTATAGTAAAATGCATAATATAGATGTAACCAATTTCAGGGATATTTTTAATAGGTGTACAATCATTCTCTCAAGGATTTAAACTAAAATGCTACTATGTAGGCAAAAATACGTAAATTGTTATGAATAAAATAATCAATATTTCTTTAACATGAAACTTCCACTAAAAAATATTTTTTAAGATCAACACTTACAAAATACGAGCTTTGGATACAACGTGCTCACAATTACACTTTCTTAGAACATTTTAATATGTTTCGGAATTTATAACATTTAAATTCTGGAAGTAACAATCATAAATTAAAATTTAACTGTTATTTAATGAAAATTTTCAAGATTCTAGGGAAAATTGAGTTAAATAAACATTTTAAACTGATGGTCAATAGTGCTGTAGTAGAACAACGTTAAATTGTGAGAGAAAATTTGAAATTTAGGGGCGAGTAGAAAGAGCCTAGTGGGAGAGATTTAGTGAGAAAGATCGAGAGGGAATATACATGTAGGCATATCTATTAGCGACAGAGGAGAGGCAGGAAGAGTAGGGATAGAGAGGCAGAGGTAGGTGGAATGAGAAAGAAATTCTGCAAAAAGATAAATCGGGAACTTACGGATATCCATGTGTAGATATATATGGCGAAAAAGACGGAGGTAGGGAAAAAGAGAGGGAGATAGAGATGTAGAGAGAGAGGGAGATAGAGATGTAGAGAGAGAGAGGGAGATAGAGATGTAGAGAGAGAGGGAGATAGAGATGTAGAGAGAGAGGGAGATAGAGATGTAGATAGAGAGAGATCGATCTAGAGAGAGAGGGAGATAGAGATCTAGAGAGAGAGGGAGGGAGAGAGAGAGAGAGAGAGAGCGAGAGAGAGAGAGAGAGAGAGAGAGAGAGAGAGAGAGAGAGAGAGAGAGAGAGAGAGAGAGCCATACAATCTTGCAGGAACCCAGCTGGAGGAGGCCATGACCGGCTTGGATGACAGCGATGGTCTGCAGAAGGAAAGAGTGGTCGCTAGTTAGTAGCGACAAGGGTGGCAGGAAATGGCTGACAGGTTTTCTCCTGTTTTACCTGGATTCCGGAGGCGAACTGATCCGTCCATTCCGAGGGAAGCTGAAGAGAGAGAGACAGAAGGGGAAGAGATAGAGATTAGAGAGAATGGGAGATATTATTTCGGCTTCTAAAACGTTAAATAATTGTAAAGTAGTAATGCTTCCTCATGAATGGCGTGGTAGGGGAAGGAGAAGGCAGAAAAAGACTGGCAAGCTCTACTTGCTTCTTTAGATATCCGAATGAGATGTAACCGCTCCAAGGCACGACTCTCTCTCCCTCTCTCTAGCTATCTATCTATCTATCCATCTGTCCTTCAATTTAGTATATGTATTGTTATCCATCCCTTTCTTTACGTCTATCCCTCACAGTCTCTCTCTCTTCCCTAACGACATTCCGGGTCGTCCTCGGTTCACACATCGCCTGCATCTCTCTGTTGAGGCTCTTAAATACTTTGTACTTCTATACTTGTAACCATTTCTCTTCACGCTCCGCAATATCTGCGCCTTTGTATCACTGCCGATCTCTCTCTCTCACACCTCTCTCGATCTTTCTCTCCCTCTACGCAATCACCATCTCTCTCCATCTCTCTCCATCTCTCTCTATACGTTCCTTACTCATCTTTCTGTTTCTCTCATCTTTAATCCTCTTCCCCCTTCCCTTTGTATTGTTGTTGAAGGCACGAGCTCATCTAGATAAGAAAATCCATAGAGCGAGAGAGCGTGTGTATGTGTGATGAGGGTGACGTACGGCGTCGAAGGAGCTCTGCCAATAGTTAGCGATGCCGGGCTCGCAGTCATTTGAGGAAGAGGATGATGGCTCCTTGAAGACCCACTTGTGGCACTTATCAGACGCCACCTTCCCCATCAATCTGTCCGCAGTGCATATCACATCAGGTCAAATCACACCATGATTCATTAATCCGAACAAAATAATAACGCACTATATAAATTAATGTGTTACGTAATTAATAATTATCATTTACATGAACAAAAATATTTTTTAATTTGACGATTTTTTTCTCACAATCAATTGAGACTAAAGAATTTAGACTTACAAAAATCTTTGGCACCTCTTGTGCCCCTACGCAATTCATTTAGGGCACCTCTTGTGGCCATCCAATTTGACTTGGACTCTCCCACATCCAATTTGATAATTAAGACTCTAAACTAAAGCTCACAAGGTTAGAGTTTCTCCATATGGTACCTTGTTGGAGTACCACGTCATCACATTCTAGACCCCCAAATAGCCGCATGGGCGCCATTTTTAACTAGCCTACCTTTGTTCTATGTGCATCATGGTATTCACCCTTTGGCTAAGTATAGGAAAATCAAGAAGACCCGTTTCTCACAATAAAACTATTTATTGTATTAAATTTATTTTTTCATAATTTTGGTGGCATTTGACTTGTCGGGTATAGTTTTCTCTGAAAGGAAAAAAAGAAGGGCAAGACGTACCCAGCGCACCCACCCTTCTCCGTAGTTGTAGAGCTGAATGGACATTTTGCTGAAGGCCTTTCTCACTGGGTCTTCCCCGCCGTCCGCCTCCCCCGCCCTCGTCCGGCAGTACCCGTCCTCCCACATCAGCATCCTGGGCATCCGCCCGCGGAGGTAAGAGAATCAGAGGAGGATGAGAGAGAGAGAGAGAGAGAGAGAGAGAGAGAGAGTTGAAATCCAAGGGGAGAGAAGGAAAGGGAACTCACAGGCTGCCATTGTCGTCGCCGACCTTGCATCCGTTGCCTCCTCGGCACCTTCTGCAGAAGGAAGAACGAAGCCGCAGAAAACATGAGCAAGAAAGAGAGAGAGAGAGAACAAGAACGAGAGGGAGAGAGAGGCATGGGTACGGGCGGGGGCGGATGGTCCAGAAGACGGAGTAAGTCCAGTCGAAGTTGCGGCAGACGTTCCTCAGCGCCTCGTGCAGCGCCACCATCCCCATTGCCTCCTTGCTCCGTCCACCTTCCCCCACTACGCCACCCCCGGCCGCAGATTGTAGCTCCCCCGAACCTCCCATGATCAACTTTTTCCTTTCACTGTTTCCCTATCTCACTTGGCCTTCTCTTCCAAACCTCCCGCCAACCCCTCCTCCTTTCTCTATATCTACCTTCTTCTCTTCACACGCATTTGCTTTTTTCTGTAAAAAAACTGCTGCATAAGCATACTTCCACAATTATTCAAAGAGGCGATCCTGCAGTGCCCACCCTCTCCATTTCCTCGGCCTGGAAACTAGGGATTCTCCCTCTATCCTTGCTTGTATCCTCCTGAAGATCGCCTGCAACTGCAGCAGACAACAGCAGGCGCCGGAGGAGAGCAATCGGAAACCAAGAAAGCGCTCCCCGCAGCCACCACACCACCAAGGAGCCCCAGCAGATGCTACACAGAACCAGTGGTCTCTTTCTTTCTCTCTATATCTCTCTCTCGCTCTCCCCTCTCTCTCCGGATCCTCCTGTAGAGAGAGACAGAAAGAGTGGGGTCAGAAACAAAAGGCCGCCACCGCGAGTAAGAGGGAGACGACGGGTGTGGGTTTCTCTCTGTCGACTTCCGGGGACTCCCGCTGCCTTCGGGATTCCACGCCTTCCGATACATTGTTTAACGTTGATGCTCTGTGACATGGGTTTTAAAATACCTCTCCTAATCTCACAGAAATGCGTTCACAGCTACCATTTCCCAGGACAGAGTCGCCCTAAAAAACTGGTTATGGAATCTCTTGCACCCGGAACGGGGGGACTCCCACGTGCGAAGCGCGGATCACCTACCCGGGTAAAAGAACAGGCGTTAAAGAGTTTGAGTGAGAGGAAATTATCCGATGATTAACCATGTCATCTTCTGCTGTTGTCGCTCAGATTTTTGACGAGTCACCTTCGACGGTGAAGTCTTTTTTCTTTCCCACCCCCCAGGTCTGACAATATTTTGGAATCTCTTTACCTTATGTACAGAATGTATGAAATATAGAGCAAGAGACATAGTCGAGAAAGCATTTTCCACATATCTCTAAATTGATTTCTTCGTAAACATAAGGATTCCAAGAAAATTAATTATGGGAAGGTGGGGAGGCCCAGCCGATTATTCATTGAAATCTGGTAAGGATTTCCTTGCATTGTTAAATGTGTAGAAATAAAATCTAAAATCTTTTCTAGCGGCCTAAGGCAATTCATTACATAACTCATACACCCTAATCTTTAAAACCTCACTGTCCATGCATAATCTCTAAATTGATTATAAACATCCTCTGTTTCAAATTTTCATTTATTTTATACCTAATTTGAGAAGCAAATGAACAACAAATACTTCGGTTTACCAATGGATAAGAAGAAAAACATTAGATGTGATTTTGAATGTGACTAAAACTACACATTTAAGTATGATAATAGAAAATGTTAAGGAACATGGAATAAGCTTGCTGGTGAACATTGACAAAAAGAGTTTTAACTTCATCTCACTACTAGTGGACATCTGTAGCTAATGATTGGGTTATTACACAAAAAATGAAGCCAAATTCGTTATATTCAATTTTTGTACCTTCATAGAACATGAATGAAAATACACAACAAGAATGTTATTCATAAATCTAATCATTTAAGGCAAGATGTAGACAACTCAATTTCTCTTGTTCACACATCAAATTTATAGCATAAAACTAGAAGCAAAATTCAGGTCAATATGCATTCTTGGAAATATGCAAATGTGTTTTGCCTTTTAAGTGGGGTCATAGATAACTTATAGCTGACATTTCCGTATCCTTAGCAGAATGATAGGCTGCTTGTGACACGATTGAGAAAACTTTGCTAGTGTGAAACAATTAATTAGAACGTTTGGGAATTTTTTAGCAACCTATCAAAAGTCTTGGGCTTGCTCAAGAACTAGGAAGCTCTTACATTACAAAAATTAACATAAGTTTGACATGTAACCATGAGATTAATGTACTTCTTCAAAAAAAATTGTATTTATGAACCTAATTCGACAAAGGAACAACTTATCACAATCTAATTGGATAAGTCTTATTAGAGGCTCCTTTCTAGCTATATCTGAAAGTGGTAAGGAGATATATTACATGTCATTCATTAAAGCATCAACTCATTGTGGAGTTTAAAATAAATTGTTGCTACTCTGAAAGTGAAATAAATTTACAGCAAGATCGATCAAATAAATTTTGTCCATAAGTGTACAAAAATTTCTTGTTGGACCTCGTAGAGGACAATGATTTTGACTTTAATTTATTTTATATTTCAAGTGTATCCAAATCCACAAGAAAATCCATTTATATAAGAATATCTTATAGAGTACATAGCAATACCATTTTAAGATATTCTAAAATTTTATTTGATCTATTTTAGCTCTCATGAAAAATCGTTCAAATGTTACACGAATTTTATTTTGATTTTGTATGAACAAGGTGAAAATATGTTTATCAATATATGGCTTTACCACATTAACTATTTAGTCTCTTCCAACTATAGGAGTGTTGATTAGTTTTCAGAAAAATCAGTGTGAATGTTTTTATTAGTGCCTATCGTTAATATGCTGACATTTTTAACATCAAAATGGAAAATTCTGGATTCTTAGTTCTACTTTGTGAGGTTCAAATCCTTTTTAGAAATTATTAGGCCCTTTTGTAGTAACATAGAGCCAATAGATACAAGTATCCAAACTTGGTAAAAATATTAGCCATTTTATAAATAAATTAAAAAAGAGAGAATAGTAATAATTAAGCTATTAAAGACAATGAATCAATCTTTCTAAGATTATTTTTTATATATACCTTATTTCTATATTCTATAAAGAATTTTTATCTAAATAAGTGATAACTTCATGAATGAACAAAAATAATGAAAAATTTACTCTCTTTCTCTCTCTATCCCTCTCTTTGTCTCTCTCTGCCTCTCACTCTCTTCATTATCTTCAGTCAATAACTTGGTTACTTTAATGATTTCATATCCATTTCAAGAAATTTGTAACAACTACCCTTTTGGATGTTCTATATATCTATCCTACTATGAGGCAAGACTTTACCTTTTACTAGTGTTCAGTTATAACTCATTTAGTGCTAACTAGTACTATCTAGGAGACTTAGTGTAGATCTCAAGGAGTTTTATTTTAAGGGAGGATGAATTTTCGGACCTAAACTTTGGGAATATCAGATTTTAACACTTTAGGATTTAATAATTTCTCAATGTTAATTGAATGTGGTATACATTGCCATTTTCATATACCAAGGAAAATATCCATGACCATGAAAACATACAAATTCAAATGTTAAAATATTCAAAACTAAAAATAAACTTACCTCATATTTGAGAAAAAATCCATTTATTGCATTCTATAGATAGTTAAATTTCAAGATCCTACAAGTGTAGGTTTTGTGGCAAAATTAATTCAAATGTATCAAGGGTAATATTACGATGATAATAGAAATAATAAGTGAACATGTCAAGGGCAAAACAACAAGGTATCATCAATATTGAAGTGTCGGCACAACATGACAGTGATAAATGAAAGAAAGGTAATAACATGTTGTGAAGCTATTTAATCTCCATTGACTTGGGGGTATTCAAAACCGTGGTACATAGAATTGTTTGATCCCACTATGGAAACTAGCAATTCTAGGGAGAAGGTCCTGAACCAAATGAGTTTAATCACTCATGTACTTTACAATATCATCAATATCTTCTTTTTTAATTATCTTAACCCCATTTTAGCTTTCCTACGTATCAAATGGTCAAAAAGATCATTCATACATTGGTCAAGGAGATATAGATATTCCCTTAATGCACAAACAGTAAACTACCCAATTAAGAAAAATAATTATAAAATTAAATATACTGACAGCATTTACCTTTAATCACCCATGCAGCTCTCATTTGCGCAACCTTCTCCAAAAAATAGATACTAACTACCTATGAATGTCGTATTCCCTTTCAAATCTCTAGCTGCCTGCGATATTCAAGTACACAGTCTTATTTGGGGAATACTGAAAATAAAGAAACTATAACAGATTGTAGTCTGTCACAGAAGAAATATATGACACAAGAAAAAGCAAATTCACGGCTTTTTGGGGTTTTGAAACCAGTCAACCATGGCTAGATTTATTATAATCTTTCCAGAAAACGTGTGCATACACAAGTACCGAAGAAAATACGAAAAAAATCATGCAAAATTGATCTTTATATGAAAAAAGTTAGAATGCCAAATTATTTCTTCAAAACCCTGATTATTATATTTTTTCCCATTAAATAGTTCATTGGTTTCTCCTTGCATAACTATTCCTCTAATTATAATTCACAAACCATTAATCCATTTATGTTAAATGTGAACATAAATTAGCAGAATGATAATTTATGTTAAATGATTTGACACTATCATGGAAGCAATCCCTAGTTACTTGGATTTTACATTTACTGCGTCACATTTATTGTGTGAGAGACATGAATGATAAGCAGAAACAAAATGGACTAGTAAATTATCTCATTTTGGATTCAAAGGATTTAAATTTATCGGAACAATTATATTTCATGAAAAATCTAAAAATTTAACCATTGTCGTTCCCTATTCACCATGGTATCGTCATGTACATTTTATATGGCGGAAATGTGAACCCCCGTCGGAGCAGAGGCCTCTTGCCTTCATTCCCTCTCGACCTCGCCCCTGGGGGTAGACCCACACGTGTTGCGGACAAAGGCGGCACATTTAAGTACGTAAGCAGGTCATTCAATCGCGTGAAATCTCAGCCATAACGGAAAGCCCGCTCCTCAGCCCATATCCCATGTGCGGACTGACCTCTTTCAGCTTGTTTAATATGTTAATCCCACGTGGCGAGATATCATTGGGTAGGGTCAGACCATCTACCTCATGCGTAAGATCCCTTTGCGAGGTTGTCGTCCTCTCCTCCGTGCTAGTACCTCCTACGTACCCAGTGTTCAACTCTCTCTCTCTCTCTCTTTCTGACGCATATAATCTCTCTATCACATAAACACACACTTTCTCTCTCTTCTCCCTCCCACTCCAGACGCTCATCTCTCTCTCTTTCTCTCTCTTGCTACATCACACACTCGGACACTTTGTCTGCCTGTGTCTCTCTCTTTCAGACTGTATATTTTGACCGCACTCTTTCTCTCTCTGCTCTGATAACTTTTGGCTTTAACCCTACTGTTTCTGTCTGTCTCGTCAGGGGTGCCTGGAGATCCAAAGTGGGAGAGAGTAGGGAGGTGACTCTGCAACTGTGTTGGCTATGCCGGGGGCTCCTCGGAGAGGCGGCGGCGGCGGCGGTGGCTATCTATTTCTCGGTCTCTGGCAGCGGCTCTCCGCCGGCGTCTGCTGCTGCCTGGGCGGGGCTACCCTGCTCCGCCAGAACACCGTCAGGCAGGGCTGGCGAGCAAGACTTGAGAGAGAGAGGGAAGATATGGCAGAATCGCCTGTTTGAATAATGGTGGAGGTATGCACCAGTTTTTTTATAGAGAAAAGGAAAAGGGTTCCAAGAGCGGGAAGGAGACAGATATAGACAGAGAGAGTAGAGAGAAAAGTAGGACCGAGGGAGTCCGAGAGAGAGAGAGAGAGAGAGAGAGAGAGGAGTTTATCATGGGAGGTTCCGCGGAGCTGCAAGACGCGGCAGCAGGCGGCGGAGTTGGGGAAGGTGGACGGAACAAGGAGGCGATGGGGATGGTGGCGCTGCACGAGGCGCTGAGGAACGTCTGCCGCAACTCCGACTGGACTTACTCCGTCTTCTGGACCATCCGCCCCCGCCCGTACCCACCCTTCGCTCTTTCTCGCTCTTGCTATACCTCCTGTGTCCTCTCTCTCTTCCTCACTCGTGTTTACTGCGGCTTTCGTTCTCCCTTCTGCAGAAGATGCCGAGGAGGCAACGGATGCAAGGTCGGCGACGACAATGGCAGCCTGTGAGTTCCCTTCCCTTCTCTTCCCTTGGATTCCATCTCTCTCTCTCTCTCTCTCTCTCTCTCTCCCCTCTCTCTCTTATCCTCTTCTGATTCTCTCTCCTCCGCGGGCGTCGGTGTAGGATGCTGATGTGGGAGGACGGATACTGCCGGACGAGGGCGGGGGAGGGGGACGGGGGGGAGGACCCAGTGAGGAAAGCCTTCAGTAAAATGTCGATTCAGCTCTACAACTACGGAGAAGGGTGGGTGCGCTGGGTACGTCTTGCCCTTCGTTTTTCCTTTTAGAGAAATCGATATCAGACAAATATAATGCCACCCAAAGTATATGAAATTAAATTTAATACAAAACTTTAATCCTATGACATATCAAACTAGTCTAGTGATAGAGAAATTATGAAAAAAATACCTTTTTGTCTCTGTGCCATAATTAATATTCTCGTATATTTTGATTGCGACTTTCTAATTCATCACTTAGATATGATTTTATTCTCATCTCATGCTCTTAATGGGTATCAATGCCCGCTCACAATTCAGCTGATTCATAAATGGTGGGCAATGGGTCTCCTAGATTTTCTATACTTAGCTGAAGAGTGAAATTCACTGAAGTTGGAGACCAGTTCAAGTGGCTTGCGCACATCATCGCTATGTGGGGACCTAGTGGGTCATGATGCGGCGGTCCACCAAGCTACGATGTGTAGGATTAATAATCAATGATGCTTTATTTAAGAGTTTGATTTTCTCCTCAATAGATAGTCCAAACCAAGCCAAATAGGACAGACCCGTGGGTTGGCCTTCTTGAATTGTGTAGGACCGTCCCATCAGAAATTTTCTTCGTGGGCTAGAGTTCTGTCTGAATTAGTAATAAGTGGAACCCTAATAAAATCTAATTATATGTATATTTTAAAATTCTTATAATTTTTATTTTTCTGAAAATGTAGAAATTGTGTTCTCACATCATTATTTTGTTTCAACGAATTCCTCGGGGCAAATTCTTGCCTGATCCATACTTTCACAAATGGTAATCTTATCATTGAATAATCATCATTGCTGGTAATCCACAATTACATTACATTATTGAAGTGAATATTTAATTAGTATTTACATTACATATTGGGTTTCATTAGTTCGTTTGGATTGACGATTCTCGGCAGTGACTTGATGTGATGTGATGTGTGATGTGGACAGGTTAATGGGGAAGGTGGCTTCGGATAAGTGTCACAAGTGGGTTTTCAAGCAACCTTCAGCTTCGTTTTCCTCCGACTGCGAGCCCAACGTCGCCAACTACTGGCAGAGTTCCTTTGACGCCGTACGTCGCCTCTCCCTTTCTCTCTCTCTCCCGCTCGCTCTCTCTCTATCTCGCTTTCTCTCTCCCTCTCTCTCTCTCTAGCTCTCTCGCTCTTGTTTGTTAGATCTTATTTCCCGTCCGGATAGACTCTTGCCTACGACTACGTAACAAGAGTAAATTGGAGGAAGAGAGGAGGAAGGAGGTAACGATATGGCGAACGATATAACGGAGATGGGGGAAGCGACAGAGATGGAGCTGGAGAATGAGGGAGACAAAGAGCGTAAGATGCGGGACAGAGAGGATGTGGCCTGAGAAAGACAACCTAAGTTCGGAAGATAGAAGAGGGAGAAAGAGAGAAAAGGGCTAGGTGATGTGTGTGGTGATGATGCTTTACCACAGAGCGGGCGGAAATAAAGAGGGAGAGAGAGGAGAGGTAGAGGTAGAGGTAGAGATAGAGGATTGTTTCATCGTCGTGTAAAAATCCTCACGAAGCAGGAGAAGCCGATGCGTCTTCTTCCGTTTACTGTTTCAGATGCGATAGAGATGAATACGGCCCCTATCTTATCTCTCTCTATCTCTCTCTTTCTCTCTCTCTATCTTCAGCTTCCCCCGGAGTGGACGGATCAGTTTGCCTCAGGAATCCAGGTAAGAAAAGGGGAAGCCCGTCAGTCGATTGCTTTGTCGTTTCTAATCGTTGTTGCTTAGCCACTGCATGCCGCTGCCTTTTCGCAGACGATTGCTGTCATCCAAGCCGGCCATGGCCTCCTACAGCTCGGCTCTTGCAAGATTGTATGGCACTCTCTCTCTCTTCCTTCCACTATATATCTTATCTTTCACGCACGCGATATCCTCCCTCTCCCTCTCGCTCTCTCTTAGCCTGTATATCTCTCTCTACTCACCCGTCTCTTCCGTTTCTCTCTTGAAATCTCTTTATCCACCACTCTCTCTCCCTCTCTCTCTCTCGCTCTCTTTAAAACTGTCCCACATCGATTAAAATATATGAGCTTATTTCCTACTCGATCTTCGAGTGCAACATCCAAGCGAATTCAAAGAACGCTAATGCTCTAATTTTTTTTCGTTTCTGGGTTGGACAGCTCTATTTATATTGTATACTTGCAGAGTATACAGTATCCTCTCTCTCTCTCTCTCCCGCTAGGTGTATTTGTTATATTTGGACATATATGTCTCTTTCACTTGATCTCCGTCCATCTCTCTCCCACCCACACCCTCTTCTCACTCGCTCTCCAGTTACCTATCATTATCTCTCTCCCTCTCTCTTAATATATTTATACATAGATCTTTGCATCTTTCTCTCTCAAGGTAGGAATGATTCCCAGGTGGGCACAATTCTGAGTTGATGTCGAGTTTTGAGTCCCAACTATTCTGGAGACCTTCAGGATCTACTTTCTATCACTACGTTGTATTGTTTACCAAAACGTATCCTGCTTAAATGGCTACACATCAGCAATCAGAAAGGGTGACTAATCAGAGTCATACTCCATTTTAACCATTGCAGTCCGAGTAGAGCGACCTCATCAATTTTAGAACCACCATTCTTGGGTTCCGTGCCTATTAGTGTGGAAGTAATGGTTTCAAGATTTGCTCCTTGTGATTAATTCAATACAGCCTGTCTCTCTCTCTCTCTCTCTCTCTCTCTCTCTCTCTCTCTCTCTCTTCTATATCTCTATCTACATTGATCCATCTCTCTCTCTCTTGCTAGATATACGTACATCTGCCGCAATCTAGATACTTGTACTCTCATCTGACTGACAACTCGCTCTGCCCGTGTTAGATACCCGAAGACCTGCACTTCGTGCTGAGGATGAGGCACACCTTCGAGTCCCTCGGCTACCAGTCCGGTTACTACTTCTCCACCATCTTCTCCTCCTCCTCCTCCTCTTCCTCCACCCCCGCCGCCGCCACCACCGCCGCAGCCGCCGCCGCCGCCGCCGCCGCCGCCGCTCCCCACTTCAACTGGCCCACCCGCCCACTCGCCCCCGCCGCCTTCCACGTGGGCTTCTCCGACGGCTGCCAGGTGGACGACCCCGACATAAAGTGGCCCACCGGACTCTCCTTCTTCAATGCCCTCACCGCCAGGGCGGACGACGCCGAGCTCCTCTTCGGCGGCGGCGCTACTGGCGACGCTCTGGGGACCAAGGCGGCGGGCACGTCGCATCACCGCGTCGTCCTCGGCGGTAAACGCACCTCCTCTCCTCCCTAAACTGCCCCCAACTCTCATCGCTTTGAGATCTCTGAAGCTCACCACCTCAGAGGTATGAACTTGCAGAGCTTCAGGATCAGGGCCGAGAGCACCACGAATAAGCTGAGCCCACAGCAGTGACGAGCATGAGCGTTCGGTAACTTGACCTTCCATCGCAGGATACTCAGAGCGGCTTCTCCTCAAAGTCACATCGAGAAGGTACTCTGACTTTAGCTGTCAGGTTAACCGCGTGCTGAAAAAGTCCGTGTGGGTGGGACTTTTAACCGTCGCCCATCAAGCGGACGGGTTACTTTCGGTGAACACAAGGACTACCTAGTTAGCTTTTCGTGGTGATTTTTCAGTGATATACCTATTTATAAGGTTTTGGAGTTTTCCAGTCAAATAGTGATTACTTTTAGTAAAAGATTAGATCTTAGCCATAATACCAAACCTTATTCTTTTCCTCAAGGTAAAAAGATATAAAAGGCATCGATCATAAGAAGCGGGGCATCCTCAACTGAGTGAAGGAGTTTCTATCCATAGTGTACAATCCTAAGAGATGAGACTTCACACCATAGTGAGTTCTTGGGGTGTTTCTTCTCTGTAGTGATGTTACTCAAAGTTGGTCGAGCAACAGTCAAGGCTTGCATGAGGGAAGAGAGTAGGTAGACTTATCAGATCCTACTAACAATTTGGTATCATAGTTATGATAAGGATGACAGTTGAGAGTGATAGCATGGACAGTTAATCGTTTGACCAGAAGAGTGGATCTCATTGTCCTAGAGGCCTATCATCAAGTCATAGAGGAACACTTGAATGACCTGGGCCCCACTACTCGTGGGGCTGTCACTTGCACCAGTGTCTCATGGGCAAATTAAGTAGATGCCTTGGATATGCATGAGGTGTTGAACTCTCGTTGATGATGTTGCACTATTGAAGCGCATATAGACGAGCCTGCCACTAGCGAATGGGACAGCATGCCAAAAGGTCCCAAAGTTAGAGGAGTTTCCAAGAGTATGCAATGCATAAGAAATTGATAATTTCCTATGGGACATCGACCACTACTTTTGGACAATGCAGAATAGAACAACAATGTATTGGAGAAGATCATGACAACAAGTATGTTACTTTCATATGAAGCTGGAGAATCATGCCAAGCCCCTTGTCAACAATTGGGAGAATTTCATGAGGAAAATGAATGAGAAACTCGTTTTAATCAATAATGTCTCCAACATTGGGTGATGGCAAACTTGTGGGATTAGGGTGCTTGATACATGTAGTCAGCGATAGCAATTGACGATACACTAGTGGATTACAGGAGTTTTAGCTGAATAGGTTTTGATGCTGATGCCTAGCACTAGGACAACACCATAAAAGGTCATAACATGGTAGTCGCAAATAATGGTAGTCACAACAAAGTGTGGGAAAGCCCATGGTGGTGGCGGCATGCAGAATAATGAGCAAGGCCAAGGAGGCCTCTAGATCATGTAGTGGTGCAACATGACATATCACATAAGAGCAGATGTTACATAAATATGGGACAACCGAGAAAACTATTGCCCAGCTTGGGTGGGAAAAGGAATCATAAATACTTTATTGGCACAGGAAGCACCAACGGGCGACAGTCACCCAATATTGTATTCCCTTCAACAAATGGGTGCCTTGTAGTTGCCATCAGAATCAAACAAGGCAAGTGAGTTGAGGCTCATCCACCTTGAGGCAATATCAATGGCCGCCTAATCATGGGACATCCCACAATTTTATTCCAGAGAAAAACACATCAAAGTTAGTCCTAGTACTATCACTTGGTGAATACAAAATCAGAACCATCCACTTAGCTACATGTCACTTGATTGATGCCATATGGGAAGCCCAACTAGAGGTCAAAATGTGAAATATAATGATGAATTTTCTGATCCCACTAACAGATGACTTGAACTTAATCCTAGGTATAGATTTCTTGTTAGGAGATCATGTTAATGTTTTTTCCTAGTTGCGTGATGTTCTTCCTGTAAGAGGATTGAAGCAATACTTTGTGATAAAAGTAAAGGGCACATAGTAAGACCTGGAGATGTTATTGCCCCTGTAGCTGCAAGACAGTTTGATGAGGGGAGAATAGACCTTTGTCACCATATCTCAACAAGGGAAAGGCTTCTCACAAAGATTTAGCTTATGAGTGAATGAGCATATGATGTCTATTACTATTGTGGTCAGCACACTGGTTTTAGGCTTGCCCCTGCATATACAAAGGATGTACGTGGGCATGCAACATATGTTCATATGTGCATAACATTTGCATGCACAAAACGTGTTACCATTGCAATAGGAAGGTGTGTGGTGTCTATTGATAACTCGAATTTACACTTGTATAGTCATTGTTATGTTTTGAGCTTATACAAAATATTTATATTTATTTTTCCTCTACTGATTTACACTATTATTAGAATAGGACAAGTAGGGGGTCGATCCTCAGGGAATTAGGATTTATATTTCTAGTATGGTTTAAGCTAGAGAGGTAGATAAGAGATTAGGGAGATAGGACAGGGAGGAAAAAGTAATGGAAGAACGAGAATCTTGATTTTTGTGATTGTGAGTTATTCTAAGAAAATTGAGATTCTGATTTTAAAATTTAAAGAAGTTTTAGATGCTTATACTTAGGGCTCAGGGGAATGATTTGAAAGAGAAAAAGATGATGAAAGGTGAGAGGCTCAAGGAGATCTTGATTTTCTTGTAAAAATTAAGATATCTAAGATCTCAAGAGGAATGATCGGACTAGGGTTCAATTTCTTGAGGAATGGGAAAAGAAGACGGACAGAACTAATTTGATTAGATACTAGAGGATGAAACCACGAATTTTATGCTCTGAAGTGCATACCTTGGATTTGTATATTTTGCCTAGACTAGGCAATTTTCTCCCGCAATAACACACTTAAAAGATCAAGAACAAACTTCACAATAATTCACCTCCATTCAGATTTATCAATCTAGATCTTGGGAAGGCCTTTTCTTGTGGCCAGCCTCTGCTAGGGCAATCTCCAACATAATGCCAAAAGAAAGGAAAAAGATATTTTGTACATAGTGATGCATTTCCCAAAAGAACCCTCTCCCTTTTCCTATTATCTTCCCATGCCTTTTCTCCTTCCTTCTTTTGTTTGGGTGCCCATTAGATCTCAAATTCGTGGCTCATCTTAGAGAGTGAGGTTGAGCAGACATTGGGCTGGAATAGGTCATATTCCTCTCTCTTCCATCAGGCCTTTCTTGGCCCAAATCACTCCACATCATTTCTTCTTCCCACCAACTATCTTTAGCACTCTGCATAATCTCTTGCTTTCACCCCAATAACCTTCAAGCCCTTTAACTAATTACATAATTAAATTCACCTAATTCCTGTGCACAACATACTACAATATTCATCAATAATAAACTACTTGACTTCTAAGAAATTAAGCAGGTTAGCCATAAAAAAAATAAATCAAGAGTGTTCACATGTGCATGAAAGTAGAGTAGGATACTTTAAGGTTAATATTCACAAGATGACATAAAATTTCCTGTATATTTATATCGTTAATAATTCTATAGTAATCATGATATATATATATCAGCAGATTTTCCATGATAACTTATAAATAGGGAGTCATTACTCAAATTTGTAGTTTTAATGTTACTAACATGATCTTGGCAAATTTCTGAGCTCAAAAGCACATGAAATCATGGATATTATCACTATATTTATCATGTTATCATCTACCAACACTAAGTGGAAATGCAGTCATGCGAACAAGGGCACACATTTTGATTAGCATGAGAGGCTGAGTAAGAGATCAACCTCATGCAACACATAGATCATACAATGTGCTACTAGAGTATTTAAAGTAATGATACTAATAGTTGGATGAATTGTTGATCTTGGGCTACATAACCTCTTTTAAAGCACCACATGGCACCATAATTCTCTTCCAAAAGAGGGATGGATCACTTTAACTATGTATGGATCACTTGACCTTAAGTTCAAGTCAAAAATAAATTGTTTGTCACACAAAGAAATGCTATAATTGGTTGAGTGGCACCAAGTGTTTATCTTAGATAGATCTTAGAAGCAAATATCAAGTCAAGATCAAGGAGGGAGATGAGTCAAAGATGACTTGTGTGACAGTCTATGACTCATATGAATTCATAATGATGTTCTTCTGCCTCAAATATTTTGACAATCTTAAGAACATCAACCACTTTGTCATTAACTATTTTGTTGATATTTTGGTTTACAACTTGGTCGGTGGTGCATGTGAAGCATAATCACAAGGTGTTTAGCAGGTTGATAGACCAACATTGATTCTCCAACATAGCAAAATGCTACTTTATATTGGAAGAAGAAATTTTCATTAACCATGAGTGGGGTGCAATAGTGTAAATAGACCAAGAGAAGATGTGTACCATTGATGAGTAACAAATGTCGAGCTAAGTACGAAAGTTGACATCCTTCATTGGCTTGGCTAATTACTATATCAAATTAGTGCAAGGGTATTCATGGCTGATAGTACCATTTATAGACCTCCTAAAGAAGGCCACAAAGTTTCAATTGCACCTTCAATGTACTCATATGAGTCATGATGAGTGAGCTTATTTTATAGCTTCTCAATTTAAACTAAATATTCAGCCATGAGTATAATCTTATTAGAGATTCATCCTGTGTGGCACTTTCAGCAGCAAGGAGCATGAGCAGCTTTGTGGCACTTTCAGCAGATAGCATAATCTTATTAGAGATTCATCCTGTGATAGCATGAATATTTAAACTAAATATTCAGCCATGGAAATGAAACATCATTTCCATGGCAACAACTTTGTTGTCTACACAACATTGTAGTAATGGCATGTTTCAAGACAGCAAAAGTTCATGCAAAAGTATGACCAATGACAATAGTTTTTGTTAAAGTACAACTTCAGTAGAAATATAAAATAAGGCAGGCTACTATGGTCATCAACACTATCAGCAACAAGGAGCATGAGCAGCTTTGTGGCACTTT